GATATTGTATTGTCTAAACCCCAGCCGGGTGAAACTCTGTATCTGTACCTGGGAATTTCCCCAAATGCTGTAAGCTCTGTTTTAATAAGAGATGATGGGGCACAAAAGCCCATTTATTATGTGAGCAAAGCACTAAACGGAGCAGAAAGTAGATACACGGCGATGGAAAAAACAGCCTACGCGCTTTTCATCTCCGCAAAAAAGTTAACATCCTACTTCCAAGCTCACCCGGTAGAAGTCTTGACTGACCAACCGCTGGGTGCAGTGTTGCGTAATTCAACATCCTCCGGGAGGATGGTGAAGTGGGCGATGATGTTAACTCAATTCAACATTGAGTACCGGCCAAGGTCAGCAATCAAAGGGCAAGCCCTTGCGGACTTCCTTGTAGAGATGGCGGGTATAACTCCAGATGAACCGGTCAACAAACCCACTGAGCAATGGTGGGAGATGGCGGTAGACGGGGCATCTGGCCCTAGAGGATATGGGGGTGGGATCATCTTTACCACCCCAGAAGGGTTCAAGATCTACCATGCAATCATCTTCAACTTCAAGTTGACGAACAATGAAGCAGAATACGAAGCTCTTGCTGGAGGGCTCAGACTTGCTCAAGCTCTCAAAATCAGCCGGGTCAGTATCAAATCTGACTCTAGTCTGATTGTTGGGCAAGTGACCGGTAATATGGAGGCTAGAGAAGGACGAATGGCGCAATACAAGGACGTGGTGCTCGCCTTGTTGAAAAGCTTCGAGGAATTCAAAATTGCCCAAATCCCCCGGGCAGAAAATGCAGATGCAGACCTTCTCTCCAAACTAACGCAGTATGCCCCCGAGCATGTTTCAAAACTTGCCCGGGTGGAAATCCTGGACCGTGCCAGCATCGAGAAACTGGAAGTAGCTGCCATAACAGGGGAAGCCCAATCTGACCGGTCAAACTTGGTCGGGGCGGATGACCACTGGATGTATGATCTGATGGAATATCTGATGGACGGGACCTTGCCGGAACAAGATGACTGGGCAAGAAAAGTGAAGCTTAGGGCACCCCGGTTCCAAGTCCTTGACGGAAAGCTGTACAAGAGGGCGTTCGGGGGACCCCTCTTGAGGTGCCTAACCAACCGGGAGGCTGAACGGGTCATAGCAGAAGTCCATGAGGGTGTATGCGCGGCGCATCAAATGTCCCGCACTCTTTCCCAACGCATCATCTTATTGGGGTATTACTGGCCAACAATTGTCCAGGATTGCGAGAGGTACGTCCAGAAGTGCAGAACGTGCCAAGTGTTCTACAAATACCCCGGTAGGCCGGCGACCTACTATCACCCCGTATCAAACGTCATCCCTTTCGCTAGATTCGGGGTGGATATCATTGGGGCATTCCCAGTCGCCCAAGGAAGGAAGAAATTTGTAATCGTGGCCATCGATTACTTCACCAAATGGATCGAAGCCGAGGCATTGGCCAATATCACCACGCAGCAATGCAAGACGTTCATTTGGAAGAACATCATCACCAGGTTTGGGGCTCCCATGAACCTAATTACCGACAACGGCCCACAATTCCGAAATCCAAGATTCACTGAATACTTGGAGGGCTTCGGAATCAAGCACAATCGCTCCTCGGTGGTGTACCCCCAAGGAAATGGCCAGGTTGAAAACGCCAACCGAACGATTGTGGATGGCCTAAAGAAACGGTTGGGAGAAGCGGGAAACAAGTGGCTGGAAGAGCTCCCACATATCATCTGGGCGTTCCGAGTAACACCCAGGAGGGCTCATGGGGAAACTCCATTCTCCCTAACCTATGGGTGTGAGGCAAGGCTGCCCATCGAAGCCGAATTCCCAACGTTTCGGGAATCAAATTATCAACCCCAGCAGAA